TAATTCTGATCGCTCAAACCACTTCAGGAGGTGGTCTGGGCCGCATTCTAGACGAAACTGGACAAGTGTAAATGCATCTGGTTGTTGAAACCACATATGTAAATTTTACTCCTCCCAAAATGTTAAAATAATTAACGTGTGAGAGCGTGTTATAGGCTATATGACATTAATCAGACTGCGCTAATGCAACATGCATCGCTGCGGACGAGTATCTCTTCAGCAAGCCGACACTCAAACTGCCGCGAATGAAACTGAAAGTAAGACGCAGATGGTCAACACACTCACTTCATTAAAAGTAGTAAGACAAACTTATCTGATGCCGCGCACTCTCCTATTGCGGTCTTTGATCTTGAAATAAGCTGATAAAATGCAGCGCTTATCTTTTGATTTCGTTGACGTGAACTCCGTTAAATTTAAATATGCGGTCTTTGATCTTGAAATAAGCTGATAAAATGCAGCGCTTATCTTTTGATTTCGTTGACGTGAACCGTTAAATTTTTAAATATAGCGCAGGAATTGAAGATCGGGTTTATATCCATTTTGCGACGACATGTATGTGGCCAAGTGTAAATGGAAACGTTTTAACAAATCAGATAGATATCCGATCAGCAAAAACGCATGAAATTACCAGGTGTAAACCAGTGTTAATTTAGTTGACGAATAATTTTCGTCAACAACATTTTTTTCACCGACGATAACGAACTAAAACTCTTTTTAAATGACAAAAACTATGACGTAAATCTATTGACATTTTCGTTTACGAATAAAAGCGAGACGAAAATGTTAGGGAGGGACGATTTGGGAAGAGATTCATTCAGAACGAATCTGCTGCGTGGTTCGGAGGTTAGGTACATATGAACCGGTGGGACATAAGCTAACATACACTTGCTGCACGTCTCATAAAACGTTCAAAAATGTCAATATGTGGGCGTAAGAGAAGAGCAGACATATGGATAAATCTGACGACGCAAGAGAGAACTCAATTCGGTCCGGTTTTCAGAGCGCAGACACTGAAGCATACACATAGAAAGCATGTCTCACAGTGCGCGAGTTCACCTTAGCGTCGCATGAACGGAGAATTACACAAAATGATGTCGAATTGTCCGTTTTGACGAGTATTCACGTAAACACAGTTGATTATGTCTTAAGTGAACGTAAACAGCAGAGAGAACGTGTATCAGTACATTGCCTCCATTGCAGCTGTGCATTCGGTTTTAAAGGGACAGCAGCCTAATTTAGTTGCTATTGTCCGAGTCATTGATGTTAATCAAGCAACAAGCAGTTAAATCGGTGTCTATCATGATAAAACCTTAATATCAAACCTATATAATGAGTTTGGAAATTTTAGAGAAATGCTTAATAAATGCACTGTAACTACACCCATTAGATTTTAGCTGACTAAATTTACTGTAGATTTAGACTAAAGATCTTATGATATTTAGTCGACTAAAACTAAAAACAATTCAGATTACTAAAATATGACTAAAACTAAATGGCATTTTAGTCAAAAGACTATGACTATGACTAAAACTAAATCAAAATTTGCTGTCAAAATTAACACTGGTGTAAACAGGCCCAAAGTGTACATATTGGTACCTTTTGAAAGGGTACTGCCTCAGTTTTGTACTTTTTTTTAGAGTGTAGAAGCCTGTTGTATTTAAAGGTGTAGTTCACTCAAAACTTAAAATTCATCCCCATGTTGTTTCAAATCTGTTTGATTTTTCAGTGCAACACAAAAGGAGAAATTTCGAAGAATCACATGCAACGGCCATAGCTGACTCCAAAAACGACAAAAAACAACATAAAAATTGTGCATCATGTTCAAAACCTATAGACCTTGGTCAGGGTATGCCATATTTAATTTTTGACAGGAATGAAAACAAGGCTGTGAAGGATAGGAGTACAGTGCATTTAATGGATTGTACTGTACTGTTTAATGACAGTTGATCAGCTGATGAAATGTCTTTCCGAAAATAACTTTTAGTAGACAAAAACTCCAAAACACAGTTTTGAAAGTTGTGAATTACGAAGATTACATGATCTTGGAAAGTCTAAGCCTATCCTTCAAAGCCACATTTGCATCCGTGTTAAATTCAATATGGTGTCTCACCTGACTATGAATAGGTCTTCTGAAGCCGACAACTGAAGTCTTCATTCAATGATTATCTCCTCTCAGCCGCAGCTTTCAAATCTCATATTTTCATATACTCATTTTCAAACCGTGTTTGATGTCTTACAGGTCTCATAACGGAACGTGACATGCAAAATTTGAATTTGCAGAAACATGAATGAAACGATCTTGTTTTGTGTTCCAGACAGTCACGCAGGTTTGGAACGACATGAAAGTGAGCGAAGAACTTTAATTGTTGGTTGAACTATCCATTTAATTCAATCAAAAATGGAAGGTTCTTTATTGGCATTGATGGTTCCATGAAGAACCTTTAACATCCATGGAACCTTTCAAATGCACAAAAGGTTCCAGAAAGTCAAAAAAACGTTCTTAAAATGTTCTTCACACTGAGAAACAAATGCTTCTTTTAAGATCTGTTCACATAAAGGGGAATCAAAAATGCGTCTTCTATGGCATCGCTGTGAAAGCCCCCTTTAGGAGTATAGGATCTATTCTTGTAGCTGATGTAAAGATGAGCATAACTGCAGTGGGTCTGTTCTGTTGAGTCCCTGGAACAGCATGTGCAGCGATCAGAGGAGTGAAAGGACGTGAGTAATACCAGAGGGAAACACCCATATAACACAGATGCTGAATGAAAGTGATAGAGGGTTTTGGCTTTGACTAAAAGCCAAATGCGATCCAAACGGTTTGGCGACTGTTAGACAGGCGTGTGCTTGAATGTATAGAGTGCAGGAATTGAATGCACGAATGCAAAGCATTGCATTTTTGTAAGAATCAGTCATGCAGATTTGAGGACCGTTGTTGTTGTTTTCTTGATAAATTACAGAGAATTTACGAGGTGCACGGCTGCTCGATTCAGCTGAGCGTTTGTAGCTGATGTAAAGATGAGCATAACTGCAGTGGGTCTGTTCTGTTGAGTCCCTGGAACAGCATGTGCAGCGATCAGAGGAGTGAAAGGACGTGAGTAATACCAGAGGGAAACACCCATATAACACAGATGCTGAATGAAAGTGATAGAGGGTTTTGGCTTTGACTAAAAGCCAAATGCGATCCAAACGGTTTGGCGACTGTTAGACAGGCGTGTGCTTGAATGTATAGAGCGCAGGAATTGAATGCACGAATGCAAAGCATTGCATTTTTATAAGAATCAGTCATGCAGATTTGAGGACCGTTGTTGTTGTTGTTTTCTTGATAAATTACAGAGAATTTACGAGGTGCACGGCTGCTCGATTCAGCTGAGCGCTTCACCCACGCAATGTAATTAATGCCAGAATCTGAAGCAAACAAG